GCCTTCCTCAACTCACTCTGTAGCCGCTCTGGCTTACATGCCCCGATCACCAAAGAGAGGGCAGAAGGTGGCCCACCAACGCCATACTTTGTTGGCAACATTGGAGGTTTCTAGGCTCAACAGGCCCCATTACCTAGGCCCCTGGTAAAGCCAGCAGCCTTTCTCTCCAGGCACAGGGGCAAAAACAGGCCACCAGCAAAATGGCCATGTCATTCTAAAAGGGGATTAGAAATGAGTGAGAGATGTTTAGGCTCTGTCACCCCGCAACGAGGTGGGGTGAATGCGGCCTGGAGCAGGCCAGACAGGGGGAAGCCCATGAGCCCGGGGCCCGGCGAGGCCACCAGGCAGCACACCAGGAGCAGAGGCTCACCCCCGACAGCAGCACGTCTCCAGACTCCTTGAGGGCTGCCTCCCGGGAGTCCACGTACAGCACGGCGCCCGCCAGGAGCTGGTCGTCCAGCTCTCTCCAGTCCGGTCTGCTGGCTCCCACGGCTAAGGAACAGCACAAGAGACCCTGAGCGCAGACAGGGGCCTGGGTATCGGGGACGCCCCTCCGCGGCAGCAGGACTGAATGAATGCCCATTCACAAGAACAGAGCCTGCCATGTGTGGCGTTGCCATCTCCTAGCCCACTCATTCCCTAAAGATTGTGAGGCAACTAAGCGTTCGTCTATCGGGTACCTACCACCTGGGAGATGTGTCACACATATTATTTAGTTCACTTTGTGTCTGGTTCCCATTTAAAAGATGCACTAACTGAGGCTCAAAGCTCAGGTGCTTGCCACAGGTCTGTATCTTGTGCGTGTACACCTAAGGCTCTGCCACGCTGTCTGCGAGACTGCAGCCTGCACATCACCGTGGTCCCACCCTCGGAAGAGGACCCAGCGGAGCCACACTCACAAACTGTGAGATAACAAACATGTGCTGTTTTCAGCTGGAAAAAAAAAATCAAATCTTTGCTGAAGATTCAGCTCATGTTCATTTCACCAAGAAGTGGTTTCTTTTGATTTCCCAAATCCTTTCAGGAATGGTCTTACTGTCCACAAAGCCAGGCTCGATACACTTTCCTACCACTGCCTGCCTCCCCATGGGCCCACATCGTAACACCAGTCCTGCAGGCTCAGGCCTTCAATTTGCTTTGCCCATTCCTCACACGTGCCACGCTTGGTTTCCTTCACAGACTGGCCTTTAGCTGGAACCATCTAATCACTTATCTGTTGACTTCTTTGTTGCTATCTCCCCTTAGGAGAAAGCAGGGACCTTGAGTGTGGTCTCCGTGACCGGCAGCCTCTGCAGCAGTGCCTGGCACAGGGCAGGCATCCAGTAAGTGTTTGAGGATGAGTGTGTAATAATGACACTTGCTCTTGCAGGCTCACCTGCCAATGTGTACAGGGATCTCAGGTTCTGAGTTCAGGCATGTGCTTGTCAGTAAAACACGGGGCACCGAGAGCATGTTTAAATGCCCTAGTCTCTGCCTGCACATGCGCCAGAATCCAGTCTTCTTACTGAAAACTAATACCGAGTAGCATTTAAGAGCCTCAGTTCAAATCCCAGCTCTGCGGCTAAGGACCTCTGACTTTGAGCAAGTTAGCAAGTGGCTTAATTTCTCTGTGCCTTAGTTTACCCATTTGTAAAAAGGGGTTGTAATAAAAATAGCTCCTTCTTCGTGAGGCTGTTGAAAGGATTAAATGACAGGGAGCACACATAAGGAGTTTAGAACAGCACCTGCAATTGCTCCTGCTATCACCCCAGGGCCATTTTATGTTCAGAGGCCCCAGGAATTCCCATGTTTAATATTTTATTTATTTACTCATTTATTCTTTTTTAGAGAGGGAGAGTGAGAGGGATAGAGAGATAGAAACATCAATGAGAGAGAAACATCATAGATCGGCTGCCTTCTGCATACCCCCTACTTGGGATCAAGCCCACAGCCTGGGTATGTGCCCTGACTGAGAATCGAACTAGTGACTTCCCGGTTCATAGGTTGACACTCACACTGAGCCACACCAGCCAGGCAGAAACTCTTATATATAGAGTTGCACCCATCCAATCACATACCAGAAAGTATTCACATTTCACATTAAATGTCTTTTGTGTTGTAATTAATTTTTTGTAGTTCTAAATGTTAAAAATAAATGAGTCATTTGGCTTTGTCATTTAAACTTCATTACATGAAAAAACTGAGCTGTGACTGGCCAATTGCCATAATGTTACGTTATATAGAAATTCTATTAGTTTCAGGTTTGCGGTTTTGGTTTCATGTTTTGGAGTGAATACTGTTTCTAGGGCTCACAGTCTCTGAGGCCCGTGTGAAGCTTGGGATGTGGCAGAACACAGTTCTGCAGCTGCAGCCCTTGGTCCAGCCTAGGGGCCAGTCCACCACCAACTACCAGATACCACACCACTTACCATTGATGTGAGCCCCTGGCTTCACCCATTCGCCAAACAAAATGGGCTCTGTTGCCATGGTGACTGTGATGATCACATCGGCACCTGTCACAGCCTCCTGGACGGATGAACAGACCTGCACCTCTCCCTCCACTGTGTCTGCAAACTTCTCGGCATTTTCTTTAGTGCGGTTCCATATCCTCACCTTCGTTGGGGGCAGCAAGAGGGACATGGGTGCCGTGAATGTTTGGCTATTTACATTTCCACGAGCCCAGACATCCCGAGGAAAGCTGGACCCCTCGGGGTCAGGCTGTGCTTATGACCATAAGTCACCCTAGGAGGAAGGGAAGTTTCATCAAGGAGGCAACATTAATCTGTGCAGACACCTGGTCAGATAATTGAAAATGACCTTCCTCCAGCCCTTCCTTCTTAAAGAAGGGAGTTTTTCTGTTTCTTTTTATTTATTTCCTAAAGGCCCATCGTGCACCAGTGGGGTCCCTCAGCCTGGCCTGCACCCTCTCGCAATCAGGACCCCTTGGGGGATGACAGACTGCCTGCAGGGATCGGGCCAAAACTGGCAGTCTGACATCCCCCAAGGGATGTAGTAGTGCACAAAGTGTCAGGAGGCTGGGGAGGAGCCCGAGTCCAGGCCGGGCACAGACCAGCTCCCGCTCATCACGGCTCCACTGCGTCTGCCGCCACCGCTCCGTAGCGCTGCCTTGGAGGTGCGAGAGGCTATCCTTGAAGGAGAACTGCTCAGTGAAGACCTCATAGTGGCTGTAGGCCTGGACCCCAGCCCCCAGGATACATAGCACTTCACTGATGGGGGGCTTCAAAAACTGTCGCAACTGCACTCGCCAGCTGTAAGCCTGGTGTCTGGTGCCTGTCAGTCAACTGAGCGGCACTCCTGCTGTGGGAGTGCACTAACCCCTGGTTGTCAGTGCGCATCTTAGTGACTGGTCAACTGGTCGTCCGGTCGTCCGGTCGTTTAGGCTTTTATATATATAGATCTTTTTTATTGAGAATATTACAGATGTCCCCCATTCTAGGAGAGACATTTTTCAATTCTACATACGACATACAACATCATTAATGCATTTGCTACTACATAGCCCAATAATTAGCAGAGCAACTTCTGGACCTAGATAGGCTTAGACTCAACCCTGCTCTCTCACTTACTTCCCTGGAGTTACTCAACCTCATTTAGCCTAAGTTTTCATGTCTGTAATATGGGAATGATAAAGGAGTCATAGCAGGTATGGGGTTCTCTGTGGCAGGGCTTTGCATGGAATAACTTGATCTCTGAAGGGCCTGTAGGGAGTTAAATATCAGAGGGTCTGAGGAGTGAATGGTGCAGTGATGTAACGGGCAAGTGTAGTAGCTACAACTAGATCCCTGGCGGTGGGACCGGACAGCTTGCCTAGCAGATAACCATGTCTGGAGAGGGGCTGGCAGCCTTCAACTGAAAATGAGACCTAAACAATCTCTCATAAGGAAATATAATGTAGAAATAAACCTGTGTCTACATAAGTTTATCAACCAAGGTTCTGTGCATGCAAATGCAAACCCAATACAATATGCCCAGTCATAAGAGAATGGTTAACCATACCACCCTTCTTGATAGAAAGTTATGCAAATATTATACAAAAATTAAGGAATCTATGAAAGTAGTGATGTTAGAACATTCAATGAAAAGATGGGATATATAACTTTGTATATCTAATATGATTAAAACATAAAATGCTGGTGAGGGAAGACTGGAAACTGTGAACTATTGCTGTTTTTAAAATAGACATAAGGGCATTTTTCTATTGTTCTTGTCCTTATAGTCCACATTTCCCAATTATCCTAAAAACATCATACTTTAAATCAGCCCCAGCACTCTCACACATGTGCAAAAAATAAAAGCAGAATCAAATGTTCCCAGAAGGAAGAGTGAGGCATGTCTGGCGAAAGGTGGGCCCATATCTGGGCTGTAGAAGGGGTGCTGTAGGCTCCTGCTCTCTAGGCCTCTCCCAATTCCGGAATCCATAACCCTGAAGACTTAGACTCCCAGGTTCTCCTAAGAGACGTGTGGGGGGGGGGAGGGGAGGGGGCACAAAAGGACAAGTGAGGGGACTAGACAACAGGTATAATATAGCCCTTTAAACTAACTGCTAGGCTGGCTGCACCCTCAGACAAACCCTGTGAGCTGAGACACTGGGAAGAGGTGATCAGGCCTCCCCCACTCTTTGTTGGACCCAGGAATTCTTGGAAAGTCATTAAAGGATGGTTGAGATGGGACTCTCCCTCACTGTCCAGCATGGCCCTGCTGCAGTGACGGAGCAGACCCCGGCCAGGGCAGCTCCCCAGTGCCCAGCCCTCCCAGGACTTACCTCCTTGAAGGAGAACTGCTCAGTGAAGACCTCATAGTGGCTGTAGGCCTGGACCCCAGCCCCCAGGATGCACAGCACTTCACTGCTGGGTGGCTTCAAAAACTATTTGAGAGAAATGAAAAGGAAACACTGCAGTGAATGAGGAACACATGGAGTTTGAGCCGAGTGGCTCCGCCCACCTTCAACTCCCTCAAGCATGCGCTGGCAGCACCCCTGCCCATCCCCAGGGAACTACCATTTAACGCTCTGTTTTCATGACTTTGGCTTCTTAGATTAAGCCCTAGAGATCTAACACATGGTACGGTGAATATAGACAACAACATCCTATCTAATAATCCTATCTAATAAAAGAGTAATATGCAAATTAACCATAACTCCACAACAAAGATGGTGGCGCCCATAGCGGCGGGGCAGGACACTGGTGGCATCACCCTGACAACATGAGCCCAGCAGGCATTGCCTTGGTGACCCGTGAGCAGGTCATGCGGCTCTCAAGCAGGCAAGCAGGCCGCAGGCAGCACCCAGCAGGGCCTGCTCCCGGTCATCGCGGTGATCTGCGAGCAGGCAAGCATGGCCGGCAGGCAGCACCCCACCCTGGCCACAGCTCCAGGGAGAGAACAACACGCAGGCGAGTCCAGGAGCCTGAAAGATCAACACAGAGGGGCGCCTTCTCCAAGCCTCCACAGTGTGGCTGGGGCCAGGCCCCCAGCAGACACACACACACACACACGGGGTGACTGCTCTGAGCCTCCAATGCAGGGGGACACACACACTCACACACACACACACAAAACACAGTGCCTGCTCCGAGCCTCCAATGCAGCTGGGGCAGGCCCCCAGCGGACACACACACACACACACGGTGCCTGCTCCAAGCCTCTGCTGCCAGACTGTGGCCATCAGTAGGGCATCCACTGAGGGCTCTGGGACTGTGATAGGGGCAAGCTGGGTGGAAGGACACTCACCCCGCATTGCACAAATTTCGTGCACCGGGCCTCTAGTTGTATTATAATCAGCAAACTTGCAAAAAGACTAGAATTTAATCATTGTAACCACTGAAAAGAAAGGATCTATATATATAAAAGCCAAATGACTGGAACAACAGAATGACTGGAATGACTGAAATGACCGGTCGCTATGACGAGCACTGTATCAGCCAACCAGCCTGATTGGGGTCCTAATTGGCCCGCCCCAACCTCCCACAGCCCCTCCCCCAGATCAGGGATGGGGACGGCCAGCCAACTTCCTGCAGTCCCTCCCTCCAGCTGGCCCTGCCCCTGATCAAACCCCCCTACCCCGATTGGGGACAGGGCTGACAGCCAACCTCCTGGCCTCTCCTCCCAGCTGGCCTGGCCCCCATTGCCCCCACCCCCCATCTCCCAACCTGATTGGGGAAGAGGCCAGCCGGCCAACCTCTTTTTCCCTCCTCCCCCCGCCACCGGCCTGGCCCTGATGGCCCCATCAGACCCCACCCATGCACAAATTCATGTACCAGGCCTCTAGTAATGATATAACATGATAGAGGTGCTAATTATCACTCAGTGGCAATCATATTACAATATATAAATGTGCTAAATTAACATGCTATGCCCCTAACATTTACAGTGTTAGGTGACAAACATATTTTTTAAAAATCTCTTGGGAAATCAAGGAGGTGTCATTTTGTGTTTTTGTTCCTCTCAGGAGAGTAGGAGAGAAAGAAGGCGCCTTCATTGAGCACCTAATATATGCCAACACTTTCCCTGCACAACCTCATTTAGCCCAGACAATGACTGCATGAGCTAGACACTTCTGTCTTCCTCTTACAGGTGAAGAAAGTGAGACCCAGAGCAGACCAGTAACTTGCCCAGGGCCCCACAACTACCACTTGGGTGGTGGAGTGCTAAACCCACAGCTTTCCTTCTCCAAAGCCCACATTCCTTCTAATGCTACCCCCTCTTAGGGATGTGAAAAGCCACGCCCAGGCCTCAGAGCTCCCAGGTGCTAAGTGCTGCCTGGAGATGTGCCCTCCAGACCCGGTCTAGGCTGTATTTGCTGAGCCCGTCCCTGTTTGTCTTTTCTCAGCCCGTCTCACTTTAAAGCGGAATGTGGAGCTGGCATTTGTGGCACAGACTGAGGGTGTGTGTGTGTGTGTGTGTGTGTGTGTGCATGGGGTTCTCATCAATTCATATCATGTCAGCTCTTCAGTGAAACCTTTCTTACCTCTGACAGCACTTATAAATGCGTTTGCTTGTACTGACCTACAGGCCCATGAGGACAGGAGCTGCCTTGTTTGCACAGAACTGGCCCTAGGGCAGGGTTTCTTGACCTCAGGACTACTGACATTTGGGCTGGACCACTGCTGGCGGGGCGTGGGTGGGCGGGCTGCCCTGTGCATCACAGGGTGTTTGGAAGCATCCTGGCCCCTGTCCATTAGGTGCTGGCAGCACCTCCATCCATGCACCCCCACCTCTGACAATCAAAACTGTCTCCAGATGCTCAGTGCCCCGGGGCAGGTGGCACGGCTGTCCTGGGTTAAAAACCACTGGCTTAAAGGAAGGACACCAGTTTTTAAAGTAAGACCCCGTTCTGTCTTTTCTCTATTTAGCAAAATTTCGGCTCTGGGGTCTGGTCTTTCCTACATGCTGATTACTGAGATTCTGGAGTGTCACCTTAAAGTACCGGTCTCCTTAACATTAATTACCGGCCAAAGGAGGCTCAGAAACCTTATCAGGTGCTCACCTCCCCTATGGCTGCAGGAGGGGTACCACTCCCGACACAAGCTATTGTCACAGAATCTGCTTTGAAAAGGTTTCAAAATGACCGATATCCACAGGCCAGTGCCCAATCAGGAGACCTGGGTGATCTTTCCTCCACTAACCCACTGCTTCTGTTCTCAGCTAATAGCGATCTATTTCTGGGAGTAAGCCTGGGCTTCGGACATTGCAGTGCCCTGGAAAAGTGACCCTCGTCCTCTAAAACTAAATGTCTAATTCTGAGGGGTCACCTTACTCAATCATTTGTTGCCTTGAGGGTAACGTTACAATCGATGTATCTTTTCGTAAACAGTATAATGTTTGTAAGATTTATTGAATCATAGCAGGATTCGCCACGCCTCAGTCTTTTCCTGTAAGCATACAGATCATTAAAAACACGTATCTGAATCTGCTGGGCTTCTCACTCAGAGTCGGCAAGCCTGTGTTTCACTGGCATTTAATAAGGCCTCTCAGTCTGGCTCTCCTACCTCCCCAGACCCCTCACGCCATGGGAGTCTGACCTCCAGCCACACCCGCCTCCTGGCAGTTTCCCAGGCACCTATGCCTCTGTCCCCACAGGGCCTCGGCCCAGGCTCCTTCTTCTTCCTGCCCCTCGAGTAACTCCTATTCTCCTTCAAATCTCAGCTCAGATACCCCTCACCCAGGAAAAGCCTTCCCCAATCCACCCTGGTGTACACTCTCATAGCTCTTCACCCCTTTCATCAGTGTACATGGCAGGGCTGTAGCTTCACAAGTATTGGTGTGATCTTTGCGTAATGTCTCCCCAAATGGACTTGGAGCTCCTTGAGGGCAGGCACTGTGTCTAGTTTTCCTTAACCATTCTAGGCCCCATGCTGAGCACAGGCCTGGAGCCGGGTGGGCACTCTAATATTTGTTGAGTAAACACATGCCAAGCATAAATCTTGCTAGAGTGTCGCCTGGGGAAAGCACGCCAGAGTCCCCAACTCAGGTTCTGTGCGACGCAAATGCAAAGCAGGTACAGGTCCCCCGGCCTGAGAACTCCAATACGTGTCCTCCCGAAGCCTGGGTGAGAGAAGAGGTGAGGGAGAAAACACCGCACTCTCCCAGAGCAAGGAGCAGAACAGGCCCTTGGTTCCTTACAGAGTAATCTACCTGCCGGGGAAGAGGGAAGGGAGCCCTGAGGCCACAGCCTCGGGCTTGGGAGCGCATGTTCCTGCCAGTGCAATGGCACCTGGAAGGAGAGGTGGTCTAGAAGCCTTTGGTTCCCAAGCGGCTTGATCATCAGCACCAACCAGAGACTTTTAAAAAACGAGGTTCTCGGGCCCGCCCTCAGGGCTTCGACCAGGGTTTGGGGGACACAGTCCCCAGGTGACGCTGTTGCACAGCTTGGGTTGGACACCTCTGATGGGGACAAGACCAGGCAGCCCTGGCAGACCCACAGCTACGTGTGTGTGACGTGGCGGGGGGTGGGGGGGCATCTCCATCCCCTGTGCACTCAGCGAGGCCAGTGATACTCGCTCTGCCTCCCTCACTGAATCCCAAGTGAAGGCGAGACGACGGGCTGGGGAGGGCTTTGGAAAGGACCCGCATCCTTCACCCATGGGAGGCAGTGCCGCCTGTCACCCTGTTCCTAAGTCAGCGATGAGCGCTGCCAAGGCAGCCCCTGTGTTATTTCGATTTGAACTGGGTCCGGATAGGATTTTTAAAAACCGGTACAGCAAGGCGTGTGCTTAGGTTCCCTTCCTGTCCAATGGCCAGTTCATCCTCATCTTCTTCCCTCTGCATCACCACACACACAGCCTGCCCGCCTGGTCTCCGCCGGCCAGCCGCTGCCAGATCCCATTTCCTGCACACTCAGGCCTCTAGCCCCGTGTTCCCAGACCTTTTCCACTTGATGAGCAAGACTGCCGACGTGACAGTCCCCACAGCCGCCGTCCAGGGCTGGTAACTCACCTCTGAAAATCCTGCTTTTGCTGTAGGAAGCCCTGCAGCTGCCAGGAACACGCCCCACTCCCAGCTCCTCCCCCTCCCACCCCACTCACTGGCTTCCTTCAGTCTTTACCCAGATGTCACCTCCTCAGTGAAGTCTTTTCTGGATAATTTAAAATGTAACCCCTTCCCAATAATTTTGATTCTGCTTTAGTTTAACGTACTAGTTGTTTTTTGTTGGCGGTGGCAGTGTTGTTGTTTTTAAAGCAGATCCTGGCATGTTATTCAACTCAAAAGAGCCTGCCTGTTTGCTAATTATCTCAGCAAATCACACTGTGCTTGTGTCCCTCTGCTCTGTTCGCTGCCATCCCCGACTGCGCAGGCGCGGGCCTCAGTGAGTCCGGCTGACCAGCAGGAGTCGGTCGGCTCGCTCCCTGCTTCCCGTGCGGCATGGCTCTGGCCTCTGAGCAACCATAGATTTACCAGAAACAGTAGCGCAGGGGCAAAAGCAGTTTTAGGAGTCAAAGGGGTCAAATTTTAAAGTCTTTCTCTGCCGCCTAGTAGCTCTGTAATCCTGAAGAACTCGCACATCCTCTCTGAACCACATTCCCTGTAACTGGCAAATATAGGCAATCACATCTACTTTGTAAGATTGAGGTGAACACCAGGAATGATGCATATCAGGTACCTGGGATCTGGCCAGGCTCCTTAAGTGATAGCTTATAAAGCTGTGAATTACTGCGCTCACCTGACACCCCATATCTGGCATGCAGAGTCCCAGCTATGTTCGTAAGAAGACCAAGATAAGTCCCCCACTTCTCCCTTAGACACGCAAGCTTGAAGCACCCACCCCACCCGCCCAACCCACCCAGGCACCATGCTCACCTTGGTGGCGATGGCAGACACAGCTGCTGTTCTCTTCGCAGTTATGACATTTCCATCCATGACCTAGGGCGGAAGGACAGACAGCAGGCACGGAGCACCCACCCACCACGTTCCGGAGAGAGGGCACTTTGAAAGCGTCACCCGAGAAGGCGCTATTGTGCCTGGCAAAGCGAAGGCTCATTTGTTACACCTGGACCCAACTCTTCCACTTCTGAGACATGCGACTTTGAACACACATCTTAACCATCCCCTAAGCACTATTTTCCTCCCTGTGAAAACAAAGGCAAGGCGCCACCGTCCTCTGTGTCGGCCATCCATCTCCCCTGGTCCTCACCAGGCAGTACGTGTTCCTGTTTTATAGACAAGGAGCCACCGCTGAGCAGACCAGGAAGGGTCCACGGCCCACCAGTAGCTGGAAAGCCTGGGCTGGGCCCGCTTCCCTGAGAGCCGCTGTTGGCAGGCAGCATGGGTGTCAACGCCACCCGATGAGCTAGAGTCTCTTCTCAGAGGAGGAATGAACAGTTAGGTTTCCTGGGAAGTAGGAGATTCTGGGAGAAGCTAAGGACCCAGGGTAGGTTTGGGTGGACTGTGGAGAGTGTCTGATGGGGCCTCAGCTGCCTGGCATCACAGGCACCTGCGGGCAGGGCACGGGCCTACATGTGGCATGGGCATTGCTGGGTCTCACACTAACCATCCGTGTGGCCTTAGACACAGTGGCTCAAGACCTCAATGGGAACTTGGGGGGCGGGGGACGGGGGGTAACAAGAAACCCTCAGGGAGGAATGGTGGCAGAATTGAATGAGGGAAGTTTCTCCTGCTCCGTATGTGCTCAGTGCCTAGTAGGTGGCAGTTAGGAAGGTGATGGAGGGCACAGGCCCTGGACTTGCACTGAGTGCGTCTGAAGTCCCTTACTACCACCTCAGCCTAGGTAAGCGGGGCCTGTTTCCCCCCCCCCTTTATTGAATAAGATATTACAAATGTGTCCTTATCCCCCCAATGTCCCCTCATCCCCCCAATCCCGCCCTCACCCTCACCCCTGTTGTCCACATCCATCACTTATGCTGATGATATGCATGCACACAGTCCTTCGGCTGCCTGCTGTTTTATGACTCCGTTCCCTCATCTGCAAAATAAGGGCACCTCGTAGGATGGTTTTGAGTGGAGTGTTCAGAACAGGCCTGCACTTCACGGGGTGCTCTCTCTCTGCCTACATTCCCATTCAATGATAAAACAGCGCACTGGGTGCCCTTGGAAAGGCTCAGGGGCTACAGGATCCCCCTTCTCCCCCCAATACAGAGCTCTTTTAATAATCTGCAGGCACACTTTCTCGCTCAGGTGCTGCTCCGCTGTGCAGCGGAGTCACTGGTCTGGGCCGGAGGGTGGCGAGCTGACTGCTCCCCAGCCGCAGCCTGGGAGCAGCGCGGGGCTGTGCGGTCTCCAGGCGGTCCCGGCGCAGATCCCCGGTCACAGACACC